TAAAGATAAATTAGAACTTACATATAATCAAAATGTCGTATATAAAATATCTTGCGAGAATTGTGATGCGAGTTACGTAGGCCAGACTAAGAGGCAATTAAGAACAAGAGTTAAAGAACACGTGTCTGACATTAATAAAGGGTCGAAATCTTCATCTGTAATTACGAATCATAGAATTGAAAAAAATCATGACTTCGAATGGAAGAATGTGAAAATACTTGATGTAGAGCCTTCTTACGGAAAGCGTTTAATTTCGGAAATGGTACATATTAAGAAACAAACACATGGCATAAACAGACAAAAGGATACAGAGTCATTACCCGATGCTTATACGAATATGATACATTCCCTCTCCAGTTCCTAATTCTGTAACGGTTCCTATCTTTTCTCGTACATTCTACCAGTACAGTACTTGACACGATCACGACTCGTTGCGCACACAAATGCAAAATATTTTAATCAGACACAGTTACATCGAAATTATATTTGATAGTGATCACTGTATAGTCATGGTTTACTGGATATATTGTTTCCAATTTATAAGGTATTTTAATTTTTATTTCTAATTTTGCTTGACATAAGTATGAGATTATTTTACAGATTGTAGGATTGAATTTTTGTACATATATATTTTTTTCTTGGAGTTAAATTCTTTTACAACCTCAATATGATACCAATTGGACAAATAAAAAGACAAGATGATTTTGCGACATAATGTTATAGTCGATTTACATGTTATACACATTTATATGGATTGCGGCCTTTAATGCGGGACTTATACATTTTCATATTTATAGAGAGTTATTATATTACAACCAATGTATTCGTTTTTACGATCTTACTATTTAATTTATTTATTTCTTTGTTTAATCCGTATATTTGAAACGTTATAGTGACGATCTGACAATGTAATTTATTTATTCCTTTTGATTAATCCGTACATTGAAAATGACTCAAACGTAGTCGAAACGTCTCATTTTTGTATTTAAATTGTATTTAAATTGTTTATTACATATATATATATCATAATGGTTCTGTGCCCTTTATTATTGATATTGTTTTATACTTATTGAACCTTAGTATCTTCTAAGAAATGTTCATTTTGACCCAATTAAGCTTACAGAATTTTTTCGGAATTTTTGTTCAAAGTTTAGATTTTTTAGATAAAAAATTGTTAATAACTTTTGAATTATCGCTTAAACAAATAAAGTGTATATAGATGCTTTTTCGTAGAAAAATAAAAAATATGAGGAATCGAATCCAATCATTTTCAGCCACTAAAACTTTGATCGGTCGGTTAGTGAATGCAAAATGGGGGTAAACCTCTCGCCTAAATATATCACTGAAATATAATACCTACTGGAATGCGCCTTTGTTAGCAGTCCGAGAGAGAGCATTTCAAGTGGTATCTTTGTCCTTTTCGAAGTTATACTGCACAATTATACTGTGCAGTAAATAGTAGTGGGGCATGTATAGTATCGGGAAAAGTTAAAATTAATAATATATGTAGCATGTCAAATGTCAAATGTATGTTGAATCTCAATTATTATTGTTTAATATTTAGATATGGTGAAATACTGTTGCATTAAAAATTGCAAGCAAGTTTGGAGACCAGACATTGATATTTCATTTTTTAGGTAATTAAATTTGATTAAGTTTATGAGCATAACTTCTAATTATGCCAACGACATTAAAGTGCACTGAGTGCGCACTAGCGCTCTGCCAGTGAAAAACGCTATTAATATGACACTTATCACTCACGAGAGACGATTCAGCGCATAACCTAATCTGTAAAAATTAAACTTTTGACAATATTGTAGTAAAAAAGGACAAGGAGAGAGATAGCATTCGAGATCCTCTTTGTCGGATCGTGAAACTAGCGCCAGCGCGCGTTCCAATAGGTAGTATATTTCAGTGTAATATATACATAGTCATACTTTTACTTAAAATACCGAGAAACATTGTACTAATAGAATACAGAAAAAATACAAAACTTTACATAAAGAACGAAAATTATACAAATATGGATTATTCTTTGTTGTCAGGTAATGAATATAATATAAGTAGGTGTAATGAAAATAATATAATATACAGGGTGAGTCATTTTAATCTATGGACCCGAATATCTTCCAAATTACGGTATCTACAAAAAAATGGTTTAGATAAAAGTTGACCAGGGCAGAGGGGGTCATTTAATTGTATCATTGGTTTTGACCTTGAGGTCAATTTTGAAGATTATTTCAAGGTTACGATGGTTTTTTTAAATGGGACACCCTATTTTTGACTGCGGTTTTCGAAAGAGCGGAAAATTTTACATCAAACTTGTCTTGTGAAAAAATTGTTTTTGCGACCTTGGAAAGGTAAAAAATGAAGGTCAAATGCCTGAAAAACGATCTGGTGTACTTTTTCTGAAATGACGTGGTTTTCTGGGTAACACAAATGTGCATAATGCTTGA